TGCACTAACCAGCCATGCAAAAAACAAGGGCTTAGGGCATGCTGAGTAGCTGGGAAAAATAAAAGAAGAGCATGTGCTTTCATGGGGAAACGCTCAAACATTCATACTTGGGGCAAATGTTGAAATGCTATAGCTCCCCACCCCTTTGGATTTTCGACTTGAGAATTGCGGTGCAGGCTCTAGATGGCATGCACTAACCAGCCATGCAAAAAACAAGGGCTTAGGGCATGCTGAGTAGCTGGGAAAAATAAAAGAAGAGCATGTGCTTTCATGGGGAAACGCTCAAACATTCATACTTGGGGCAAATGTTGAAATGCTATAGCTCCCCACCCCTTTGGATTTTCGACTTGAGAATTGCGGTGCAGGCTCTAGATGGCATGCACTAACCAGCCATGCAAAAAACAAGGGCTTAGGGCATGCTGAGTAGCTGGGAAAAATAAAAGAAGAGCATGTGCTTTCATGGGGAAACGCTCAAACATTCATACTTGGGGCAAATGTTGAAATGCTATAGCTCCCCACCCCTTTGGATTTTCGACTTGAGAATTGCGGTGCAGGCTCTAGATGGCATGCACTAACCAGCCATGCAAAAAACAAGGGCTTAGGGCATGCTGAGTAGCTGGGAAAAATAAAAGAAGAGCATGTGCTTTCATGGGGAAACGCTCAAACATTCATACTTGGGGCAAATGTTGAAATGCTATAGCTCCCCACCCCTTTGGATTTTCGACTTGAGAATTGCGGTGCAGGCTCTAGATGGCATGCACTAACCAGCCATGCAAAAAACAAGGGCTTAGGGCATGCTGAGTAGCTGGGAAAAATAAAAGAAGAGCATGTGCTTTCATGGGGAAACGCTCAAACATTCATACTTGGGGCAAATGTTGAAATGCTATAGCTCCCCACCCCTTTGGATTTTCGACTTGAGAATTGCGGTGCAGGCTCTAGATGGCATGCACTAACCAGCCATGCAAAAAACAAGGGCTTAGGGCATGCTGAGTAGCTGGGAAAAATAAAAGAAGAGCATGTGCTTTCATGGGGAAACGCTCAAACATTCATACTTGGGGCAAATGTTGAAATGCTATAGCTCCCCACCCCTTTGGATTTTCGACTTGAGAATTGCGGTGCAGGCTCTAGATGGCATGCACTAACCAGCCATGCAAAAAACAAGGGCTTAGGGCATGCTGAGTAGCTGGGAAAAATAAAAGAAGAGCATGTGCTTTCATGGGGAAACGCTCAAACATTCATACTTGGGGCAAATGTTGAAATGCTATAGCTCCCCACCCCTTTGGATTTTCGACTTGAGAATTGCGGTGCAGGCTCTAGATGGCATGCACTAACCAGCCATGCAAAAAACAAGGGCTTAGGGCATGCTGAGTAGCTGGGAAAAATAAAAGAAGAGCATGTGCTTTCATGGGGAAACGCTCAAACATTCATACTTGGGGCAAATGTTGAAATGCTATAGCTCCCCACCCCTTTGGATTTTCGACTTGAGAATTGCGGTGCAGGCTCTAGATGGCATGCACTAACCAGCCATGCAAAAAACAAGGGCTTAGGGCATGCTGAGTAGCTGGGAAAAATAAAAGAAGAGCATGTGCTTTCATGGGGAAACGCTCAAACATTCATACTTGGGGCAAATGTTGAAATGCTATAGCTCCCCACCCCTTTGGATTTTCGACTTGAGAATTGCGGTGCAGGCTCTAGATGGCATGCACTAACCAGCCATGCAAAAAACAAGGGCTTAGGGCATGCTGAGTAGCTGGGAAAAATAAAAGAAGAGCATGTGCTTTCATGGGGAAACGCTCAAACATTCATACTTGGGGCAAATGTTGAAATGCTATAGCTCCCCACCCCTTTGGATTTTCGACTTGAGAATTGCGGTGCAGGCTCTAGATGGCATGCACTAACCAGCCATGCAAAAAACAAGGGCTTAGGGCATGCTGAGTAGCTGGGAAAAATAAAAGAAGAGCATGTGCTTTCATGGGGAAACGCTCAAACATTCATACTTGGGGCAAATGTTGAAATGCTATAGCTCCCCACCCCTTTGGATTTTCGACTTGAGAATTGCGGTGCAGGCTCTAGATGGCATGCACTAACCAGCCATGCAAAAAACAAGGGCTTAGGGCATGCTGAGTAGCTGGGAAAAATAAAAGAAGAGCATGTGCTTTCATGGGGAAACGCTCAAACATTCATACTTGGGGCAAATGTTGAAATGCTATAGCTCCCCACCCCTTTGGATTTTCGACTTGAGAATTGCGGTGCAGGCTCTAGATGGCATGCACTAACCAGCCATGCAAAAAACAAGGGCTTAGGGCATGCTGAGTAGCTGGGAAAAATAAAAGAAGAGCATGTGCTTTCATGGGGAAACGCTCAAACATTCATACTTGGGGCAAATGTTGAAATGCTATAGCTCCCCACCCCTTTGGATTTTCGACTTGAGAATTGCGGTGCAGGCTCTAGATGGCATGCACTAACCAGCCATGCAAAAAACAAGGGCTTAGGGCATGCTGAGTAGCTGGGAAAAATAAAAGAAGAGCATGTGCTTTCATGGGGAAACGCTCAAACATTCATACTTGGGGCAAATGTTGAAATGCTATAGCTCCCCACCCCTTTGGATTTTCGACTTGAGAATTGCGGTGCAGGCTCTAGATGGCATGCACTAACCAGCCATGCAAAAAACAAGGGCTTAGGGCATGCTGAGTAGCTGGGAAAAATAAAAGAAGAGCATGTGCTTTCATGGGGAAACGCTCAAACATTCATACTTGGGGCAAATGTTGAAATGCTATAGCTCCCCACCCCTTTGGATTTTCGACTTGAGAATTGCGGTGCAGGCTCTAGATGGCATGCACTAACCAGCCATGCAAAAAACAAGGGCTTAGGGCATGCTGAGTAGCTGGGAAAAATAAAAGAAGAGCATGTGCTTTCATGGGGAAACGCTCAAACATTCATACTTGGGGCAAATGTTGAAATGCTATAGCTCCCCACCCCTTTGGATTTTCGACTTGAGAATTGCGGTGCAGGCTCTAGATGGCATGCACTAACCAGCCATGCAAAAAACAAGGGCTTAGGGCATGCTGAGTAGCTGGGAAAAATAAAAGAAGAGCATGTGCTTTCATGGGGAAACGCTCAAACATTCATACTTGGGGCAAATGTTGAAATGCTATAGCTCCCCACCCCTTTGGATTTTCGACTTGAGAATTGCGGTGCAGGCTCTAGATGGCATGCACTAACCAGCCATGCAAAAAACAAGGGCTTAGGGCATGCTGAGTAGCTGGGAAAAATAAAAGAAGAGCATGTGCTTTCATGGGGAAACGCTCAAACATTCATACTTGGGGCAAATGTTGAAATGCTATAGCTCCCCACCCCTTTGGATTTTCGACTTGAGAATTGCGGTGCAGGCTCTAGATGGCATGCACTAACCAGCCATGCAAAAAAAAGGGCTTAGGGCATGCTGAGTAGCTGGGAAAAATAAAAGAAGAGCATGTGCTTTCATGGGGAAACGCTCAAACATTCATACTTGGGGCAAATGTTGAAATGCTATAGCTCCCCACCCCTTTGGATTTTCGACTTGAGAATTGCGGTGCAGGCTCTAGATGGCATGCACTAACCAGCCATGCAAAAAACAAGGGCTTAGGGCATGCTGAGTAGCTGGGAAAAATAAAAGAAGAGCATGTGCTTTCATGGGAAACGCTCAAACATTCATACTTGGGGCAAATGTTGAAATGCTATAGCTCCCCACCCCTTTGGATTTTCGACTTGAGAATTGCGGTGCAGGCTCTAGATGGCATGCACTAACCAGCCATGCAAAAAACAAGGGCTTAGGGCATGCTGAGTAGCTGGGAAAAATAAAAGAAGAGCATGTGCTTTCATGGGGAAACGCTCAAACATTCATACTTGGGGCAAATGTTGAAATGCTATAGCTCCCCACCCCTTTGGATTTTCGACTTGAGAATTGCGGTGCAGGCTCTAGATGGCATGCACTAACCAGCCATGCAAAAAACAAGGGCTTAGGGCATACTGAGTAGCTGGGAAAAATAAAAGAAGAGCATGTGCTTTCATGGGGAAACGCTCAAACATTCATACTTGGGGCAAATGTTGAAATGCTATAGCTCCCCACCCCTTTGGATTTTCGACTTGAGAATTGCGGTGCAGGCTCTAGATGGCATGCACTAACCAGCCATGCAAAAAACAAGGGCTTAGGGCATGCTGAGTAGCTGGGAAAAATAAAAGAAGAGCATGTGCTTTCATGGGGAAACGCTCAAACATTCATACTTGGGGCAAATGTTGAAATGCTATAGCTCCCCACCCCTTTGGATTTTCGACTTGAGAATTGCGGTGCAGGCTCTAGATGGCATGCACTAACCAGCCATGCAAAAAACAAGGGCTTAGGGCATGCTGAGTAGCTGGGAAAAATAAAAGAAGAGCATGTGCTTTCATGGGAAACGCTCAAACATTCATACTTGGGGCAAATGTTGAAATGCTATAGCTCCCCACCCCTTTGGATTTTCGACTTGAGAATTGCGGTGCAGGCTCTAGATGGCATGCACTAACCAGCCATGCAAAAAACAAGGGCTTAGGGCATGCTGAGTAGCTGGGAAAAATAAAAGAAGAGCATGTGCTTTCATGGGAAACGCTCAAACATTCATACTTGGGGCAAATGTTGAAATGCTATAGCTCCCCACCCCTTTGGATTTTCGACTTGAGAATTGCGGTGCAGGCTCTAGATGGCATGCACTAACCAGCCATGCAAAAAAAAGGGCTTAGGGCATGCTGAGTAGCTGGGAAAAATAAAAGAAGAGCATGTGCTTTCATGGGGAAACGCTCAAACATTCATACTTGGGGCAAATGTTGAAATGCTATAGCTCCCCACCCCTTTGGATTTTCGACTTGAGAATTGCGGTGCAGGCTCTAGATGGCATGCACTAACCAGCCATGCAAAAAACAAGGGCTTAGGGTGTTGTGTGATGTCATCATATGCTATCACATTCTGTCTGCCTCCCATCCATTTTTTCAACTTGCATGTGTGGTTTGAACGTGTGCAAGAATTTGTGTGTGGTGTGTTCTGGAGTTTGGGAATGTGTTTTGTGTTATTCTGTCTGAGCAGGTATTTGTGATGATAGATCTTGAGAAGATCTTTCCGACGCAACAAGAATCGCTTCAATCGGAGCAAGAACGCGAAAGCTATGAAGATTCAAAGTTCATGAGCTTGCGTTACAATTGCGGCGGTTACAAAGTGAAGTTGTGGGGTGACTTTATATGGAGTTGGGACCTTTGGGGTTGGGGAAATTTGTCACTCTACTGTAACAGCTGCAAATTGGTTGGGAACAACCAAGCTAGGTTGGCAAGGGTGGCCAACTTGGATGGATTGGTTGGGAAGGGACAAAGGTCAAAGTTGGGGTTCCTATAGGGAGGGAATCTTTGTGCTTATGGGGTTTCCTTGGTTGGGGACTCTCTTGGGACCTTCCCTCTCATCCCTCTCTTCTATCCCAACCTTTCTCTTGCTCCTTTAATTCCTTGTGAGATTCTTGAACTTTGATTGAACTTTTGAGATTGAGTTAAGTTCTCCTCCTACAGCTTACCCCCTAGTGCGTCGAAAGCCATAGCGTCGCGAATACTTCATCAATCAACATGATTCAAATTGGGAACGGTAGCTGAGATTAAGAGCTACAACATATCCAAGTTTCGCGACATTCCAACGGCTAGTTTTTGTCGACGTCGTTTCTTGTGAAGACGACTTTTCTGTCCAGAATTTCGGATTTATATTTTGAGTAATTCTAGCTCCTAAGTTCACCTAGACTCCGTCCTTAATCCTAACAAGTGGTATCAGAGCAATATTAAGGACATTGAGAGGAGTCTACAGAAGTTGAAGACCCTTCTAGACCCACCATGGCCTGTGGGTGTGCCTAAGTGGTGTTCTAAAGGTTGGATGTGTCTTCCGCTAAGGGGAAACTCTGCCGAAATTTCGTGGACGCCGACACTTGTGAAAATATCGAGGGAGCTGAGTGTGGACAGCAAAGGGGAGCTGAAATTCGTCATTTCTCAAGGAGAAGATGAATGAGAGAGGAGGAGATGCTAATGGAAGAGGAGCTGTAGCTGAGAAGACAAGTGAGCCGCCGCCATCAAAAGTTGAAGCTTTGGATGGCTCCAACTATGAGGAATGGAGCGGACGGATGAGGAGTGCCTTCAAACGCTACAAGCTACTGAAGATTGCTGTTGGGGAAGAGAAGATGCCGGAAGAAGGCGAAGCACGTGAACGGTGGATTGAGAAAAGCGCGGTGCTTTTCGACCTCATCCTTCAATCGGTCAACAAGGAGATGTTCGAGCACATCAAGGATCTTGTGGAAGCGGATGATTCGGGTCCAAGGGCGTGGAAACTACTACGCGATGTGATTCAGCCCAACACTCTCCGATGGTGATCGTGCTCGAGAAGGAACTTGCTGCCATCTCCATGCGACCAGGGGACGATGTGAAGCCGGTCCTTGACAAGATCAAGGACACCTATGCAAGGATGGCAGCAGCGGGCAGCAGTGTATCTCAGCTGCAGCAGTGCACCAAGATCATCTCGGTGTTGGACAACTCTTGGGACAACCTCATCCCCACCCTCAACTCTCAGCAAGATCAATGGACACCTGAGTGGCTAAGGCAGCAGATTCTGCAGGAGGACTTCCGCAGACGCCATGTGGGAGGCGGTGCTGCCACTAAGACTGCTGAGGGGTATGGAGCTGCAGGGCGCGGCAGAGGAAGAGGGGGTTGGAGAGGCCGAGGCCGTGGGAGAAGCTTTGGCAGAGGTAGAGGCCGAGGTGACTATAATGAGGGGCATGGGAGCTCTAGTGGCAGGGGGAGTACCAGAATGGAGGGCACCTGCTGGTACTGCAAGAAGGTCGGGCATCCTTGGTTCAAGTGCTTCAGCAGGCCGGAGGGATGGTCACCTCCAGGCATGAAGCCGCCCAGTGGTGAACGCGCACAAGGTGGCGCTGTGCAAGGCTCAGGTGCACAAGGTGAAGGTGCACAAGGTAATGCCTATCCTGGGATGTTTCTCATGGTTGAGGATGTGCATGGGCATGAGGGTGATGTGGGATCTGTGGGAAAGGTTGTGATGCACCCTCTCACGCACTGGGTGATTGATTCAGGTTGCACCAGTCACATGACCCCACGGGCAGATTTGCTTGATGAGGTAAAACCCCCTGGGAAGATCAAGTATGTGGCAGCAGCGTCAGGTGCTTTGCTCCCCGTGATTGGTGTTGGAAATGCCAAGGTTAAGGGAGCTAATGGGGAGCTTGTGGGGCTTGGGAATGTTCTGCTGGTTGAAGGCTTGTCTGCTAACCTTCTCTCTGTGCGGCGACTGCAGAAGAGCAAGGCCGAAGTGACCTTTGGACCAACCAGCTGCCGTGCTAAGCTTGGGAAGAAGGTGCTGTGGAGTCTGGAAGAGGAGACCAGCTGCATCAAGGACCTGTGGCAGCTGCCCATCATCCCATGGAATGGGAAGACTCCAACAGCAGCAACGGCAGCAGCGGCAAAGGCAACAGCAGGAGGAGATGCAACTGCACCAACTGATGGGGTCCTGGAAGCAGTCAAGAAAGTGCAGAAGCAGCAGACACATGGTGAGGTGCTTGCTGGTGTGGATGCGAGTGCGGCATGGGCTAAGGCTTCATCAAGGAGTGGAGAGGCCGATTGGGAGACATGGCATGAGAGGTTGTGTCATGTGAACTTCCCTATGCTGCAGAAGTTGGTGAAGAATGGGAGCCTGAAGGGCTTGGAGGTGAAAGGGGAAGTGAAGGAGATTGGGAGCTGCCCTACATGCTTGGAGACCAAGTTCTCCAAGTTCCCCTTCAACAGCACTACAGGACCAGCCAAGACCCCACTTGCACTTGTGCACATGGATGTGGTGGGGCCCACAAGAGCCCCTTCCCTCTCAGGCAGCCGCTATTTCTTGACAATTGTGGATGACCACACTCGGGCAGTGTGGGTTTACCCTTTGAAGAGCAAGGGGGAGGTGGCAGCGGCTGTCCTTAAGGAGTGGATGCCTAGAGCTCAGAGGGAATGCGGATACAAGGTGAAGGTGATCCGCAGTGACAATGGTGGGGAGTTCATTGGAGCTGATTTTGAGGGGGAGTTGAAGAGGAAGGGGATCCAGCATCAACTGACAGTGCCCTACAACCCGCAGCAGAATGGCGTGGCTGAGAGGTTCAACAGGACCCTGCAGGAGGGGGCACGCACTCTCCTTGGGCGTGCAGGGCTGCCTGATCCGTTTTGGGTGTCTGCACTGAGGCAGGTCGCCCTTGTGAAGAACAGGGTGCTGGCTACAGTTGGAGATAAGGAGTGGATCCCATATGTCAAGTGGTATGGGAGTGCTCCAGCTGTGAACATGCTGAGGGCATTTGGGTGCATGGTGGTGTTTCATGTGCCTAAGGAGAAAAGGGGGAAGTTGGAGGCTTCTGGAAGATGGGGTGTGCACTTGGGGATTGCAAAGGATCACAAGGGGTGGCTGCTATGGGACTTGACCACCCAGAAGTTGACAGTGTCAAGGGATGTGAAGTTTCTTGAGTCCCTGTACTACAAGGAATGGAAGCAGCAGCAACAGAAGCTTCCATCTACACCGCTCATTGTGGAGGCAGATGAGGTGCAGCAGCCTTCAAGACAGGTGGAGGTTGCAGTGTCAGAGGAGGAGATGTCTGGGGTGACTGAGGAAGGGGGAGCAGCTGAAGTAGAGCAGCAGCAGCAGCAGCATGAGTCTCCACCTCGAGTTCCACACCCGCCTGAGCGTCCTAGGAGGGATGTGCGCCCTCCTGTGAGGCTGACCTATGGGGGAAGAGGCAAGCCAAATGTGGTGCAGGCTGGGAGTGTGGTTGAGCAGATTGAGGAAGATGAGATCGCTCACTGCTACTGGGCACCAATCCCTGAGCCCAAGACTCGAGAGGAGGCCTTGAATGGACCAAATGGGGAGAAGTGGAAGGCGAGTGAGGATGAGGAGTTCGGGTCCCTGATTGAGAACGAGACATGGGACCTGTGTGACTTGCCTCCTGGAAAGAAGGCAATCACTTCCAAGATGATCTACAGGCACAAGTATGGACCTGAAGGGGAGCTGACCCGCTACAAGTCTAGGCTTGTGGCACGGGGGTTTCAGCAGACAAAGGGGAAGGACTATGATGAGGTGTTTGCTCCTGTGGGGAAAGGAACAACACTGAGGGTGCTGTTGGCGATAGCTGCACTCCTGGGATGGAAGATACGGCAGATGGACATTGTGACTGCCTTTCTGAATGGGATCATTCTGGAGGAGGTGTACATGAAGCAGCCAGAGGGGCTGGATGACGGGAGCGGCAGGGTCTGCAGGCTGAAGAAGGCCATCTATGGCCTTAAGCAGGCGCCTCGTGCATGGTATCACAAGTTGGAGGAGGCGCTGTTGGCTGGGGGTTTCAAGAAGAGTGAGTGTGACCCCAGCCTGTTCCTGCTGCAGGAGAAGGATGAAATCCTCATGCTCTTGGTGTATGTGGATGATATCCTTCTCTTTTCTGCATCCACTGCTTTGCTGGACAGCGCAGAGCAGATGCTGGAGATGCAGTTCAAGTGCTCCAAGATGGGTGAGGTGAAGTACTACTTGGGGATGCACGTGGAGAGAGATGTGGAAAAGGGTGTGCTGAGGTTGCACCAGAGGAAGTACTGTGAGGGGCTGGCTGAGAAGTATGGGCTGCAAGATGGGGGAAAGCCAGCAACACCACTACCTTCAGGGTTTACTGTGGAGCCATGTGCTGATGAGGAGGTAGTGGGTGAGAGTGACAGGAAGCTGTTTCATTCGATGGTTGGGTCGCTGAATTATGCTGCAAATCATACACGGCCTGACATTGCATTTGCTACATCACGATTGGCTAGTGTGGTCTCACGCCCTAGTCATGAGCAGCTGGAAGCGGCCAAGAGGTTGGTCCGCTATGTGAGTGCTACGGCATCAGTGGGATTGGAGTACAGTGGAGTGAGGCAGCGGTTGCAGAGAGGTGCTGCAGATGTGAAGAGTGGAGAGATGCTCTTGAGTTGCTATACTGACGCTAGCTTCAACTCAGTGAAAGCGGATGGCACCAGCATTGGGGGTTATGTGTGCTTGCTAGGAGGTGGTGCTGTGAGCTGGCGCAGCAAGAAGCAGAATGAGGTGGGATTGTCCTCATGTGAGACTGAGTACATGGCCTTACACCATGGGGCCAAGGAAGTAGTGTGGCTAAGGCGTTTGTTGGAGGAGTTGGGAGTTGGTCAGGAGAAGCCGACAGTTGTGTTTTGTGACAATGAGTCCGCTGTGAAGCTCGCCAAGAATGCTTGTCTGCATGGGCTGACAAAACACATAAGGCCTAAGTGGCATTGGGTGAGGAGACTCCTTGATAAGGAGGTGCGGCTGGAGATAGTGAAGACCCATCAGCAGGCAGCAGATATTTTCACTAAGCGTCTGGCGGAGGCGGATCATTGGAAGGGCATGAAGCTTGCTGGGATGAGTGTGCATTGAGTATGCATGCTTGAGATGTGGTATGGTGGATGATGGTTGGCAGCCAGAGGGGGAGATTGTTGTGTGATGTCATCATATGCTATCACATTCTGTCTGCCTCCCATCCCTTGTTTCAATTCGTATGTATGGTTTGACTGTGTGTGAAAGAATTTGTGTGTGGTGTGTTCTGGAGTTTGGGAATGTGTTTTGTGTTATTCTGTCTGAGCAGGTATTTGTGATGATAGATCTTGAGAAGATCTTTCCGACGCAACAAGAATCGCTTCAATCGGAGCAAGAACGCGAAAGCTATGAAGATTCAAAGTTCATGAGCTTGCGTTACAATTGCGGCGGTTACAAAGTGAAGTTGTGGGGTGACTTTATATGGAGTTGGGACCTTTGGGGTTGGGGAAATTTGTCACTCTACTGTAACAGCTGCAAATTGGTTGGGAACAACCAAGCTAGGTTGGCAAGGGTGGCCAACTTGGATGGATTGGTTGGGAAGGGACAAAGGTCAAAGTTGAGGTTCCTATAGGGAGGGAATCTTTGTGCTTATGGGGTTTCCTTGGTTGGGGACTCTCTTGGGACCTTCCCTCTCATCCCTCTCTATCTATCCCAACCTTTCTCTTGCTCCTTCTAATTCCTTGTGAGATTCTTGAACTTTGATTGAACTTTTTGAGATTGAGTTAAGTTCTCCTCCTACAGCTTACCCCCTAATGCGTCGAAAGCCATAGCGTCGCGAATACTTCATCAATCAACATGATTCAAATTGGGAACGGTAGCTGAGATCAAGAGCTACAACATATCCAAGTTTCGCGACATTCCAACGGCTAGTTTTCTGTCGACGTCGTTTCTTGTGAAGACGACTTTTCTGTCCAGAATTTCGGATTTATATTTTGAGTAATTCTAGCTCCTAAGTTCACCTAGACTCCGTCCTTAATCCTAACATAGGGCATGCTGAGTAGCTGGGAAAAATAAAAGAAGAGCATGTGCTTTCATGGGGAAGCGCTCAAACATTCATACTTGGGGCAAATGTTGAAATGCTATAGCTCCCCACCCCTTTGGATTTTCGACTTGAGAATTGCGGTGCAGGCTCTAGATGGCATGCACTAACCAGCCATGCAAAAAAAAAGGGCTTAGGGCATGCTGAGTAGCTGGGAAAAATAAAAGAAGAGCATGTGCTTTCATGGGGAAACGCTCAAACATTCATACTTGGGGCAAATGTTGAAATGCTATAGCTCCCCACCCCTTTGGATTTTCGACTTGAGAATTGCGGTGCAGGCTCTAGATGGCATGCACTAACCAGCCATGCAAAAAACAAGGGCTTAGGGCATGCTGAGTAGCTGGGAAAAATAAAAGAAGAGCATGTGCTTTCATGGGGAAACGCTCAAACATTCATACTTGGGGCAAATGTTGAAATGCTATAGCTCCCCACCCCTTTGGATTTTCGACTTGAGAATTGCGGTGCAGGCTCTAGATGGCATGCACTAACCAGCCATGCAAAAAACAAGGGCTTAGGGCATGCTGAGTAGCTGGGAAAAATAAAAGAAGAGCATGTGCTTTCATGGGGAAACGCTCAAACATTCATACTTGGGGCAAATGTTGAAATGCTATAGCTCCCCACCCCTTTGGATTTTCGACTTGAGAATTGCGGTGCAGGCTCTAGATGGCATGCACTAACCAGCCATGCAAAAAACAAGGGCTTAGGGCATGCTGAGTAGCTGGGAAAAATAAAAGAAGAGCATGTGCTTTCATGGGGAAACGCTCAAACATTCATACTTGGGGCAAATGTTGAAATGCTATAGCTCCCCACCCCTTTGGATTTTCGACTTGAGAATTGCGGTGCAGGCTCTAGATGGCATGCACTAACCAGCCATGCAAAAAACAAGGGCTTAGGGCATGCTGAGTAGCTGGGAAAAATAAAAGAAGAGCATGTGCTTTCATGGGGAAACGCTCAAACATTCATACTTGGGGCAAATGTTGAAATGCTATAGCTCCCCACCCCTTTGGATTTTCGACTTGAGAATTGCGGTGCAGGCTCTAGATGGCATGCACTAACCAGCCATGCAAAAAACAAGGGCTTAGGGCATGCTGAGTAGCTGGGAAAAATAAAAGAAGAGCATGTGCTTTCATGGGGAAACGCTCAAACATTCATACTTGGGGCAAATGTTGAAATGCTATAGCTCCCCACCCCTTTGGATTTTCGACTTGAGAATTGCGGTGCAGGCTCTAGATGGCATGCACTAACCAGCCATGCAAAAAACAAGGGCTTAGGGCATGCTGAGTAGCTGGGAAAAATAAAAGAAGAGCATGTGCTTTCATGGGGAAACGCTCAAACATTCATACTTGGGGCAAATGTTGAAATGCTATAGCTCCCCACCCCTTTGGATTTTCGACTTGAGAATTGCGGTGCAGGCTCTAGATGGCATGCACTAACCAGCCATGCAAAAAAAAGGGCTTAGGGCATGCTGAGTAGCTGGGAAAAATAAAAGAAGAGCATGTGCTTTCATGGGGAAACGCTCAAACATTCATACTTGGGGCAAATGTTGAAATGCTATAGCTCCCCACCCCTTTGGATTTTCGACTTGAGAATTGCGGTGCAGGCTCTAGATGGCATGCACTAACCAGCCATGCAAAAAACAAGGGCTTAGGGCATGCTGAGTAGCTGGGAAAAATAAAAGAAGAGCATGTGCTTTCATGGGGAAACGCTCAAACATTCATACTTGGGGCAAATGTTGAAATGCTATAGCTCCCCACCCCTTTGGATTTTCGACTTGAGAATTGCGGTGCAGGCTCTAGATGGCATGCACTAACCAGCCATGCAAAAAAAAGGGCTTAGGGCATGCTGAGTAGCTGGGAAAAATAAAAGAAGAGCATGTGCTTTCATGGGGAAACGCTCAAACATTCATACTTGGGGCAAATGTTGAAATGCTATAGCTCCCCACCCCTTTGGATTTTCGACTTGAGAATTGCGGTGCAGGCTCTAGATGGCATGCACTAACCAGCCATGCAAAAAACAAGGGCTTAGGGCATGCTGAGTAGCTGGGAAAAATAAAAGAAGAGCATGTGCTTTCATGGGGAAACGCTCAAACATTCATACTTGGGGCAAATGTTGAAATGCTATAGCTCCCCACCCCTTTGGATTTTCGACTTGAGAATTGCGGTGCAGGCTCTAGATGGCATGCACTAACCAGCCATGCAAAAAACAAGGGCTTAGGGCATGCTGAGTAGCTGGGAAAAATAAAAGAAGAGCATGTGCTTTCATGGGGAAACGCTCAAACATTCATACTTGGGGCAAATGTTGAAATGCTATAGCTCCCCACCCCTTTGGATTTTCGACTTGAGAATTGCGGTGCAGGCTCTAGATGGCATGCACTAACCAGCCATGCAAAAAACAAGGGCTTAGGGCATGCTGAGTAGCTGGGAAAAATAAAAGAAGAGCATGTGCTTTCATGGGGAAACGCTCAAACATTCATACTTGGGGCAAATGTTGAAATGCTATAGCTCCCCACCCCTTTGGATTTTCGACTTGAGAATTGCGGTGCAGGCTCTAGATGGCATGCACTAACCAGCCATGCAAAAAAACAAGGGCTTAGGGCATGCTGAGTAGCTGGGAAAAATAAAAGAAGAGCATGTGCTTTCATGGGGAAACGCTCAAACATTCATACTTGGGGCAAATGTTGAAATGCTATAGCTCCCCACCCCTTTGGATTTTCGACTTGAGAATTGCGGTGCAGGCTCTAGATGGCATGCACTAACCAGCCATGCAAAAAACAAGGGCTTAGGGCATGCTGAGTAGCTGGGAAAAATAAAAGAAGAGCATGTGCTTTCATGGGGAAACGCTCAAACATTCATACTTGGGGCAAATGTTGAAATGCTATAGCTCCCCACCCCTTTGGATTTTCGACTTGAGAATTGCGGTGCAGGCTCTAGATGGCATGCACTAACCAGCCATGCAAAAAACAAGGGCTTAGGGCATGCTGAGTAGCTGGGAAAAATAAAAGAAGAGCATGTGCTTTCATGGGGAAACGCTCAAACATTCATACTTGGGGCAAATGTTGAAATGCTATAGCTCCCCACCCCTTTGGATTTTCGACTTGAGAATTGCGGTGCAGGCTCTAGATGGCATGCACTAACCAGCCATGCAAAAAACAAGGGCTTAGGGCATGCTGAGTAGCTGGGAAAAATAAAAGAAGAGCATGTGCTTTCATGGGGAAACGCTCAAACATTCATACTTGGGGCAAATGTTGAAATGCTATAGCTCCCCACCCCTTTGGATTTTCGACTTGAGAATTGCGGTGCAGGCTCTAGATGGCATGCACTAACCAGCCATGCAAAAAACAAGGGCTTAGGGCATGCTGAGTAGCTGGGAAAAATAAAAGAAGAGCATGTGCTTTCATGGGGAAACGCTCAAACATTCATACTTGGGGCAAATGTTGAAATGCTATAGCTCCCCACCCCTTTGGATTTTCGACTTGAGAATTGCGGTGCAGGCTCTAGATGGCATGCACTAACCAGCCATGCAAAAAAACAAGGGCTTAGGGCATGCTGAGTAGCTGGGAAAAATAAAAGAAGAGCATGTGCTTTCATGGGGAAACGCTCAAACATTCATACTTGGGGCAAATGTTGAAATGCTATAGCTCCCCACCCCTTTGGATTTTCGACTTGAGAATTGCGGTGCAGGCTCTAGATGGCATGCACTAACCAGCCATGCAAAAAACAAGGGCTTAGGGCATGCTGAGTAGCTGGGAAAAATAAAAGAAGAGCATGTGCTTTCATGGGGAAACGCTCAAACATTCATACTTGGGGCAAATGTTGAAATGCTATAGCTCCCCACCCCTTTGGATTTTCGACTTGAGAATTGCGGTGCAGGCTCTAGATGGCATGCACTAACCAGCCATGCAAAAAACAAGGGCTTAGGGCATGCTGAGTAGCTGGGAAAAATAAAAGAAGAGCATGTGCTTTCATGGGGAAACGCTCAAACATTCATACTTGGGGCAAATGTTGAAATGCTATAGCTCCCCACCCCTTTGGATTTTCGACTTGAGAATTGCGGTGCAGGCTCTAGATGGCATGCACTAACCAGCCATGCAAAAAACAAGGGCTTAGGGCATGCTGAGTAGCTGGGAAAAATAAAAGAAGAGCATGTGCTTTCATGGGAAACGCTCAAACATTCATACTTGGGGCAAATGTTGAAATGCTATAGCTCCCCACCCCTTTGGATTTTCGACTTGAGAATTGCGGTGCAGGCTCTAGATGGCATGCACTAACCAGCCATGCAAAAAACAAGGGCTTAGGGCATGCTGAGTAGCTGGGAAAAATAAAAGAAGAGCATGTGCTTTCATGGGGAAACGCTCAAACATTCATACTTGGGGCAAATGTTGAAATGCTATAGCTCCCCACCCCTTTGGATTTTCGACTTGAGAATTGCGGTGCAGGCTCTAGATGGCATGCACTAACCAGCCATGCAAAAAACAAGGGCTTAGGGCATGCTGAGTAGCTGGGAAAAATAAAAGAAGAGCATGTGCTTTCATGGGGAAACGCTCAAACATTCATACTTGGGGCAAATGTTGAAATGCTATAGCTCCCCACCCCTTTGGATTTTCGACTTGAGAATTGCGGTGCAGGCTCTAGATGGCATGCACTAACCAGCCATGCAAAAAACAAGGGCTTAGGGCATGCTGAGTAGCTGGGAAAAATAAAAGAAGAGCATGTGCTTTCATGGGGAAACGCTCAAACATTCATACTTGGGGCAAATGTTGAAATGCTATAGCTCCCCACCCCTTTGGATTTTCGACTTGAGAATTGCGGTGCAGGCTCTAGATGGCATGCACTAACCAGCCATGCAAAAAACAAGGGCTTAGGGCATGCTGAGTAGCTGGGAAAAATAAAAGAAGAGCATGTGCTTTCATGGGGAAACGCTCAAACA